GGGAGTGTCCTGCACTGACAGGCTGGAGGAACTGAGTCTCTTTGGTCTGAAGGGAGTATCCCACACCGACAGGAACTGAACCTTTTTGATCTTGAACAGAGAAGACTATCAAGCGACCTGATTCAAGTATTAAAAATCACTTACTGAGTCAAGCCTGTGGATTTCTTTCAGGATAACCATGGAAACACAAATCAGAGAACACAGGTGGACGACGCACCACAGTGCGTCTAAAACTGAGAACAGGAGGTCCTTATTTACCCAAAGGGGTGAGAGAGTCTGCAACAAGCTTACAGATTGGATCATGTTTCTCACTTTAAAAAAATTCAAAGAGGCCATTAACTATTGCTATTTGGTCGGAATGATTTGGGACTCCACAAGCACAAAGAGTCAGAGAATTGCCCATAATTGTACATTAATTGTGCAAGAAACATGACTGCACTGCTACAGCAGGAACAGACCCATGAGAAAACTAGAGAATTCTGTGCCATACAGAGATCTGGACAGGTAATGTTAAGCTCTGGTTTGTGGGTGACCTCGTGACACTGGCTTATCTCCTAGGATGCATTTGTAAGGTCACACACACACACACACACACACACACTGTGAGAGTGTGTAAACACAGAAGAGCACTGGGAAACACACTCTTTACAGCCCCACCCATCTCACACACCACTTGAGCAGACTGCGGGGGAAAAGGTTTTAGTTTCGCTTCTGTGTAGTATCTCTTTCCAAGTCTGTCTCTCAAACTTACAGAAGGTTAGAATACTAAAGCAAATAAAGTTGATAATCTTGGGGTTCAATAATACTGTGCATCCTTCCCCAGTACCAGACGAGCACAGAAATAGCACCCCTGACCTGACCGAGTGACGTCTGCACTGCAAAGGGAACAGCTGGCTAATCCCCATCTATTTTAGTACCTTGTTTCTGTTTACACTTCACAAGCAGGAAAATCACAAAGCAGATATTATAAAACAGAAAAGGAGCATTTTCAATGGCCAGTTTTAGATGTCCCTAGCACGTAGTAAGAAAAAAATGAAAAAAATTACCTTGCTTATTTTTAATACTGTAGCAATCATGGTCTCTGAGTCTTTAAAAGTCATCATGAATAACATTTAAAGAATATGTATTATACAGCTATTTTTAAAGCATAGCTTGTGGTTATCAGACACTTAAAGGCAAAAAAGCGTCAGTTTGAAGTGTTGAAACTGGTGCTATCACACAAGTCTTCTAGTATGAGGTAGGCGATGTACGTGACGACAGCGCTTCACCTGTCCTACGTCACACTGGAAAAGTTGCAGACATTGCTCGGTTCAGACCCAATGATATCTTTATCCCGATAGTTAAAGAATTTCAGAACCGAATGATTATGCAGACTTGGGGAAAAATAGACAACTCGCGGGAAAACCTGGCTGTGCAAAGCAAGGCTTAATTTTTCAGAATATCCCTCATTCCTTCATGTAGCGCTAATTAATGACCCGGCAAGTATCCCAGACTAATTTATTCCCCTTTCCTGAATTCTCTCCCTGTCTCGACTGGGGCCGGACGCCTTGGTCAGACACAAGCTTCATAAACAGGAGATTAACAAGAAAGACACAGAGGCCTGTGTTTTGTTTAGATTTCTTACCTTGGAACCGCTCCGGTATTATCAGTACTGGAACTTTAAAACTACCCAGTTGAAGATTTAAAACTGAAACAAGACCGCACGCCCGAAACGAAACGAAACGAAACCGTATTCCTGTTAACAAAACTGCCTGGAAGCAATAAAAAAACTAAACCGGGCTACAGGATGTTCAAATGGTGACAGCCAGCCAGTTTTATGCACCTAAACACCCTCCTCGCCATGAAACTGCCACCGTATCTGTGCGCAGTGTCTCCTCACATTCTCATCACTGTTCGGAACTGCAGAAAACCGCAACATAGCTCCTGCTATACCTGACAGAGCTGAGATTCCGCCTCCCTTTGTCTATCCTGATCTCCGGGCCTCCTCACAGGCAGCTGCGGCTGCTCATACTCCGCGGCCAGTGCGGTGTTGTCGAGCCGGACAGGTCGCTCCGCTCCGCTGCTCGGTCAGAACTCGGCCCGGCCGAGGAGGCGTGACTGCGGGGTCGAGCTCACGGGCGCACCGCGTTAACCGTCCGGGAGGGAAACAAGAGCGCAAGGCGTAAACCGTCCGGGAGGGAAACAAGAGCGCAAGGCGTAAACCGTCCGGGGCGGGAGGGACAAGAGCTCAAAGCACCAGAGGCATGCCCCCCCCCCTGGCGGGCGCAGCGTGTCACTGCTTCTTCTAGCGACCCCGCCGGCGCTGTGAAGCGCTGCAGTGTTCAGCTCAGTTCAGTTTATTTGTCATATGCACAAGTGCAACGAGATGCTTACGTTTAAATGTCATTACCCTGACCTTGGGCGCCGAAATTCACCTCGACAAGAGGGGTTAGTGAGCCAAAAATATTGTGAACCACCATTCGCAGCTTTAAAAACAATCTTTCAAAGACCGGAATCGGTTTTCAACCAATAAAGTGAGTTGCACGGGTGGGCCCGTATCGCCACAGAGCGCTTTTTCAGAGTGATATTGCAGTTAACAAGAAAATCGTAGTATTTGCTCACCGATCCTTGAACTGCCCATCCGCGCTAGACTCTGATATTACAACGTAAACACAGGTTAAAGTCATATTACATTAATACAACCTACAGAACGGTGTCTCACTGGCCGGGGCGGCGCTGCCCTCAGCCCTTGGGTCCTCTGTGTGAATCCGGTCTTCTGTGCAGAGTTTGCATGTTCTTTCCCTGTTCGTTTGGGTCTTCTCCTCTCTTTCTTTCAAAGACACTGGTGCGGTACAGCGCTGTCCCTAAATGGTCCCTGCGTGAGCGCTGTAGCGGACTGGGCTCAGTCCAGGAGGGTGTACTCCTGCCCTGGTCCGTCTGGTTCTGAGCAAGAGCGCCCATGTCACAGATCGCTGTCAGGCGGGAACAGCAAGCATCTTGAGAAAATGAAGGGAGAAGTTTTTCACAGTTCATCACTCCTTCTTCGTGACGTTCTTCACAATCGTGTTTCCCTGTTTGAAAAGGTGCCCGTGTGGCCTCAAGCGGAACGATAAGGCACTGTCCGGAGAAAACCTTCCTGCAGGCATGCACCTTTTGTACAGCTGTGAGTCGCTTAAAACGGACTCTGCTACGAAGAGCGGTACTCGGAGCCAAACCTCGGCTGTTCTCCGTGTGTACCGATCACTGCAGGCCCTGCAATGGAAGATGTGTCGCGGGTCCCTTCCCCAGCTCCGCTCCTTAGAGGAGTCTGGCCACAGCGCCCAGCAGGGCCGGATACGAACCGGTTCTTTGCTCTACAGTCCCGAGGTCCAGGGCACGGGCTCGCCAGGTGCTTGGGAATGTTTCACTCAACCGCATGTTGCAGTTCAAACGATATCAGCTGTCCCACATCTGGCAGATGAAAACGGAGAGGATGAGTTTGCCGGGGGGGGGGAAATTGATGTTTCCTCTATGTCTTTTCAAGTCTTCTCAGGTGGATGACACCACTTTATTAAGATAACATCACTTTATTAGGCCTGTTATTTCCCCGAAATAACACATCTGTAAAAGAACGAGGAAGAAAGTCACTGCCTTTTGTTCTCAGCGGCCTTGGGACAGATGCGAATCGATGTTTTTTTTAATCAGAGCCTGCCTGTTAGCGCCTTCACAAGAGATGTTGGAAGCTACAGATTATAGATCAAGTTTTACACTTTAAAATATTATGGGCATGTTAATGCTTCTTCAATAACCCAGTTGGCTTTTTCCATCTTTATACATGTGCAGGCGGTGATACCCATCTGGGGACACGCAGCAGTCCGATTCTGCAGCACACAGCTTTTACATCACTCCTGCCTACGGCAGCAAAAACTGATATATCTTCGTAAAATCTGCATGTACAGCAAAGGTCTGCGTGCCCTTCTGTTATTTTGATATCTTTTTTCCCCCTGCGAGCAGCACCTGCACAAACACATTTCATGCATTATTAAACAGAGGGATATTGTCAGGGTGAAAGTTGGATTTGAAACTCCAGTCTGCTGAAGCCCTGACGGTTTGGGAGATCGAAGCCCGGGAAATGGGAGAAACAGGACTAAGTTCGCTGGAACCTTGAAAAAACCGAGAGAGATCGCCTGGGCTGAAGTCCTCCACAGCAGCGCCGATGACACTGCCCATGTAAGTGTGCCGGTTGCTGACAGGGCTGGAAAGATAGTGCTGCGCCCAGTTCCGTCCATGTCCGAGAAATGTCACAGTTATGTTGTTTGCTTTGTCTTATCGTGAAGCACTCAGTGGCAAGAACGAAGGCACTAACTGTAGGCAGCTGGAAGGATCTTAAAATCTGTATGCATGCATCAGTTCTCTTTCAACTGCTGCGGAAGACGTTGCGTTGCGCTTCGCGTGTGCCGGTGAATTAAAAACCCTCGACAGTTACAGTACGTTCGCTGGTTTTGCCTCTCCTGCGCTCTCTGCGAGCAGTTAAGAGAGATTTGAGCGCCAGGGGAAGGTGGTGATGTGTCTTGACCAGCTTCAACGTCTTGACATGAAGAACCTCAGCGTGACAAACAGATCGTTAGGCGGTTGCTGAAAGCAGGAATGAAGTTCGTGGTTGGGTATGAAGTGAAAGGACAGGATAGAAAGAGCGTTATTGCCTGTGATCTGAGTTAATAGGTACATTAGACCCTGTTGCTGTTTTAACCCATAAACCCTCTCTAACTGTCGGGCAAAGCAAAGATTTCAGGACAAAAATGGAAACAAAATTACGTCTCTTCCACTCGAGTATTTTACTGTTGGTATGCAGTTTGCTTTTGCTGCAGAATCTGAAATTTCAGTCTGAGCCGGAATATCTGAGGGAGTTGTAACCTTTTGCACACATTATGCCCGATTCGTCTGGTAGGTGCATCACCTATTGTGGAGATTTATTAACCTTCTGTTCTGAACATAGGAAACGGGACAAAGGCTTTCGGCCCATCTAACCGTTTGGTAGTCAGTATGTTGGTGATCGGAGGATCTCATCCAGCTGTTTCTTGGAAGAGGCCAGGGTACCGTCTTGAACAACATGTCCGAGCAGCTTGTTCCACACTCCCACACCTCTGCCTCTCAGCTTGAAGTACACCTTCGAGTAGTTTCCACCAGAGTCTTCCGGTTCATGTCGCTCTGCTCATCGGAGACGTTTGCGGGGTTGAGCTTGTTGAAGGCTTGTGCCTGGTCGCCTGGTCGCCGGCTCTGTCCAAGGCGCAGACCGGAGGAGCCCGTCCTCTGCCCGTGTGCTGTGTTTTTGAACAGCGTCCCCCCGGTGGGGGGGCAGTTCAGTGGTCCCTCTCGTTCCCTTCTCCTCCTCGCACGCAGCAGGAGCTAATCCCTCGTAAACATGGAGCACAGGACACGCACGTCTTGAGGAAAGGAGTCTCCCTCCGGGCCTGTAACAGCCCACGGGGCATCGTTAGCTGGCTCGTCTGTTGGCGTTCCTATAGGAACCCGGGCGGTTGCCGCGGCAGCCAGGCCCAGGTGAGGGACAGGGTGCGAGCCGCACCTGCAATCCTCCCGTCAGAGGCTCCACGCCTCTGCGACGCACTTCATCCGGGCGGTAGCGTGTGTGTGTGTGTGCTCCGTCGCGGCAGGGCCGGGGTCCGCGTTGCCATGTCCCAGCCGGGAGCGGACATGTCTCTCCAGCCGGCGTCGCGCAGGGGGTCCTGCGGAGTCCCGGTCCAGATCACGCTGCAGTGCGCGCGCAGACGCTTCACCAGGTAGGGTAACCACTCTCTCTGCCTTCTCCGGCTCTTCCGGAGAAGTCCTCTCCCCCGCCGCCCCAGACTGCTCGGCCCCCCATTCGTCTTTCGTCGTTTCGTGTTCTTCCCTCACCTGGCCTGAGCACGGCGAGGGCCAGTCGCCCGGCCCTGGGGCAGAGATCGGTCACGTTGCCAGGGCAGCAGAGGCAGCAGGGCCGGCCTCGGTGCTCCAGAAGAAGCTGCGTGTGTTCTGCCTTCTGCAGGGATATGAGCGGCTCGGTGTCCGTGCAGGACCCTCGGAGCAGGGCCAGGGACGGGAAGGGCACGGACCGATGCAGGAGCCAGCCGCCCGTGTCCAGCGCCGGGGAGGACCGGGCTGTCCTGCTGGGGTTCGCCATGATGGCCTTCTCCGTGCTCATGCTCTTTGTGCTGGGCATCACCGTGGTCAAACCCTACATGCTCAGGTGAGAAGCCAGCAGCTGCAGACGGCTCGCGTCCGGGTCCTGCAGGGATTCCAAAAGGCCCCTGAGCTCAAGGCTGACATACTGGCACGGACCAGTGGCGGGACATGCTTCTCCTCCGTATTCCTGCAGCTACTAACTGCTTCATTAGCTCTTCATCATGCATGCGTCTCACGGTCTGTGTCGGCCGTTTCTCACGCACTGGTGAGCCCTCTTCTCTGTCTTTCTGAATTGGGGGGATGACTTCAGCTGCCGACTTGTATTTTTTCATCTTACGCCTGCTTGTTTCTTACTAGTTAATGGGTTCCTGTTGTGTTAAATGCACACTGCATCATGTTCTTTCACCTGCCTGCAAAACAAATTTCCCACCTGGGACAATAAAGGGAGCAAGCGACACACCTCAGCGACACAGGAACAGAGCTTAAAAGAACAGAGTCTTAAACAGCAGTAATAGTTTTAACAAGATAGTGGAGCTTATATCTGTACGTGTGGTACTGTAAAAAAACTAAACATGGATTTAAATTCCAGATAATTCCAAACTAATTTGCTCAAGTTAGAAATGATGCAGGTCATGTCCATACAGTGCAGGCATGACGCCCTGAAGCCAAGACTGCACCAGCTTCATAATGTAATCAAATGTAAATGGGATGAACTGCTGACTTTGCTGGAGTAAGTATTCAGGGAGTGGTGTGTGGAGTACTAATAGAGCCCCCCGATGCCCGCGCTGCAGCAGCTGGAGCGAGCAGGCGAACTGCACGGTGATCCGCATGGAGATCCTGGAGGACTGGGTGGACTGCACCTTCATCTGTGGGGTGGACTGCCGCGGCCAGGCCAAGTACCCCTGCCTGCAGGTCTTCGTCAACCTCTCCTCTTCGGGGCAGAAGGCCGTGCTGCATTACAACGACGAGGTCATCCAGCAAAACCCCAAGGTAGGGCAGGAGAGAAATTCTCCTCCAGCCTTTGAACATGGGAGACACCTGGCAGAGAGACGCGTCGCTCAGACAAGCTTGCTGCAGCTGTTCCTCATAGGTTCCTCATGTTGCAAAACCACAACAGGGCAGCTGCCTGACATGGTCCTTCTGAGGAAAAACAGGGCCAAATGGTAAATGTAATGCAATTCGGGAAGGTGGTGTTTTGCTGTGAACTTGACACATGGAAAGATACAGCTGAGACCTGTTACAACTTATTCCATGCCAGGACAGACTTTTTCCAAATAAAAATGAGCACCTTGCCATTAAACCCCCAGGGTGTTTAATGCCGCACACAGAGCATTATCCACCCAGTGTAGAAGTTGTTTAGCTACCAGAATGAGGGGGTGCAAGAGCCACTCGCTTTCTGCTGCGCAAAGCCCGCCAGGCAGCGCGACAGCAGAGCTCACCGAGCTGTGCTCTTGTGTTTCCAGTGTTTCTACATACCCAAGTGCTTACGAGACGGGGACGAGCTGCTCAGCGATGCCAAGAGGATCCTGCGCTCCCTCCACCCAGGCCGCGGCAGCCCCTTCTCCTGCCACTACAGCCCGGACAAGCAGCCCCGAGACGCCATTCTGTTCAAGAAGTACGACAGCGCGGTGGTGCTGCACTGCCTGCTGTGGCCCTCCCTGCTGCTGGTGGCCGGCGCTCTGGTCGTGGCCATGGTGAAGCTCACCCAGCACCTGTCCCAGCTGGCCGCGGGGCTCCCCGCCGCCCCGCAGAAGAGCGACTCGGGGCCCCCCAGCCCGGGGTCGAGGCGAAGCGGCCAGAGCAAGCTCCACAAGCTCTTCCAGGGGAGGCCCCGGCTCCGGCAATCCCAGCATGCCCCGCTCTGCTGAGGCCTGTCGCCCTGGGGCCCTCTCAGCGGGGGCGCCCTTGTCCTCGGAGACTGGACACGGAGGCTGTGCGCAAACGACAAAACAAAACCAGATGTTCCCACACACAGCAAACAGCTGATCTTCCCTCCTCTGAAGACACTGACGCAGGGACCTGACTGGGGAAAGGCCACACTTTCCAACCCCACCTGGAAGAACTCAACTCATTCGGTGTCAGTTCTTCTCTTCTTCCCCATTGTCAAAAGCTATATTAAACTTCTGATTTCTTTTGACTTCTGATTTCTCTACTCCTGTTCTTGATAATTGCAAACAAGACATGAGCTGCTCTCGAAGACGTCATGGGTGCCCAATACTGCTCCGATCTTCTGCTCCGTAGTGCAGAAAAGAGCTTGTCATGGCGTTTGCGGTTTCTTTGGTGGCCTGGTTCTGGCACGAACGCCCTGGCCATGTTATTGAGGCTGGGACCCTAGTCTTTTCCAAGAAATGACCGAATGAGATCCTCAGATCGATTATTTACCGACTCCTGAACGGGCTCGATGGACCAAACGGCCTCTTGTTTGGGACTTTCCTTATTACAACATTCCTTAGCTTCTGTACGTAATCTTGATCAAAACGCAAACTGGAGTTTCCTCACTTTTTCCACCCAGCAAACGGTTTTGTTTGTATACAGTCCATGCACAATACAATTCGTGTCTGAAAGCCAAATATAAACATCGAACCTCAGAACTGAGTTTCCCCCAGTTCTGTTATAAATAGGGGGGTTAGTTCCTGGAATAAGGCTCGATGCACATTCATCAGGAAAATAATGGCATCTTGTATGCCATCACTGCTCATTCCAGCACTATACCTACACCTATACCTGCAAACTGGTGCCTTGCACAGTCCAACCTTTAATGCCTCTGGCAGCACATGTGTAACGACCAGCTGCCCACTACTCCTGCCAAAGCGATCGGACGATGTCAACAGGTGCTCGGTACTCCGTTAGCAGTCTGCAGGCATTCAGAAAACCGAAAAATCGTTCATTTCTCATGACGGGGTCACGTTTCATCTTTCACCCGAGATGAACAACCCAAAGGCAAGCAGCTTTAAAATCTTGCGCCGGCTCGAAAACATCGCACTGAAAAGGGCGGCGGACAAAGCCACGCCCATGTCTTTCATCGAGATGAAAGTTAGATTGACACTCCGGTACAATTATTGTGGGCAAAGACGACCTATGGGTAAATACAGGTAAACGAAGATGCGTCGAGTGAGAACGGCATTGGTGGCACGTCTCGAGGGAGGTGGCGCGGCGCGGTGGCATCCTCATCGGGGCGAGTCTCGGCCCCCCCGCGGCCTGGGAGCTGCTGCCACGTGCTGCTCCTTGTGACCCGAACGAGCGGCCTGCCTTTCCCTTCAGACACAGGCCTGGTGCTCCAGCAGCTCCTCCGGGAAGCCTAGGGGCACGCAGCAGCTGCTCCAAGGCAGGGGGCTTCTCCTCCCGTTCAGAGGGAAACACCGTGCTGAAAAGCCATGAAACACTTCCACCCAGTCAAATGCAGGACCATGGCGATCCTGCTGGCCTGCAACTGGCCTCACTCTGGGCCCCGCGCCCCGATGACAAGCCCAGTGTCTGACTGGCAGGTGGTCTTTGACTAAGAACTAGGAGGAAGCCTCCGTAACCGAGAGTTTATTGATCGCACTTGGCAGATGGTCAAAGGTTTTGATTGACCCTTTGCCTTGCACTCACACCCGTTCAATTATCATTATCCAGCATAAAAAAAAAGGATGAAAACAGTCTAAACGGTTTCTATTTTTTTTTGCCAGGTCTGTCTTCACAGTCGTATCAACTCCTCCCCCACGTGTACCAATTGCACAAAAACTGGTCAACTTGAAATAAATTTATTTGTACATAATTACATCACACTCAAAAGTATCCGAGACAGACAGGGTACAAAGCCATCGTTTAATTAAATAGCATGATGAATAACAGACAATAAATGAAAAATGCAGACTGTTACGGGATAGCAGTTAAAGTCTAATAAATGTTTACTAAAGAGTGCAGTCTTAGGCCAAACATTATCCTTCCAAGCTAAATAGCAGAATGGACCAAAGTAACAGGGAGTTTGCAGTTTAACTTGCATGCAATAGGGTTTTATGCAATCTTTATTTGGCCCACAATATATTAAAAATAATGTTAATAATAATGAAAATAAAGCTAGAACTAACTTGGAGAGATGTGTCCTGGGCACACCATGAAATTCTCTCGTCCCTCCAGACATTTTACTGTCCCAGATGGCAAAGACCTTTTCAGCCTCAGATCTCCCTCTCCCTTTGGAAATGCACCTTTCAAACAAAACTCAAGAGATAGCAATGCTCTGTCATGCTTTGTATTACTTCAAAGTTTGGCCTAAGTCTATAATAAAACAGTACTAATTTGTTAGAATCCCTAACTGCTTGAAGAGACTAGATTGAGCAAAGGACTGAAACATTCACGATCGGTATGAAATTGCCCATGCTAGCTGACCTTCAGTGCTGTGCACATGGTGACCACACCTCTGTTCGTGACGCACAAAAAGGTGGTTCGTAATGAAATTCAAGTAAAACCTTTAAAACTGAAGCATGGAAGGTTTTTCTTCCGTTACAGAATCCTACATGTAGCATATCTAAACCCTCTCAACATTTATTTTATTTTTTTAATCTTGTAACAAGTGAAAAGCATCTTAAATAGGTCTTAGATAGTTAGACACTGGCGTCCAATGGGCTTTGTATCTGGGGCCGGCCCAAACAAGGCGTCTGTAACCTGTACAGACAGACGTATACACAGAAGACACTGATCATGCTAGTAAAGGCCTAAAAAATCGCGTAAGGCTACTGTACACTACAAGGTTTTAAATGTCTCTGACCCATTTCCGATACTAAAGAGCAAAATGACTTGTTTACATGCACAGAAGTAAGCCTTTTTGCTTTTAGACAGAAGGCATTCTTTAAAAAAAGAAATAAAAAAATTACAAAGTGCAAAACCACCTACATACTTCAGTTACGATTGTATAGCTGTTGACTGGTTTACTGCATATAAGAACCACATTTGTAGTTTAAAATTGAAAACCTCAAGTATCTCACACGAATGCATAGGAAGTCTGGAATACTGTATATACTTTCCCCAGTCTTTAGAGAATCTACTCCACTAAATATAGTCGAAAAAAATTTAAATTCACAGTTCAAAATCTGGGCCTTCTTTCTAAATTGTTTAATGCATTTAGAATGCAGTATGGAGAGCAGGTACTCAGTAGATTTCCACATTTTATTCAAAGTGTTAAGAGTAGGCAAGGTTTCTTGTTTCCTTTACAAACTTTGTAGTGTTCAATACAGAAAATATTTTGCTGATCTGGCCTCATTCCCAGATCCTGTTAGAAAAAAAAGCTTCATATCATAATGGCAGATGACACTGTGATAATGAACAAGCTTTTAATACTTGGCCGAGTTCCTGGAACTGGACATGATTACCACCATATGCATTTCCAACCAAACACAGCACCACGATTCTTCATCAAAAGATTTACAAACACCTACGTCCCTCTATAAACCAGTCAAGTTACTTCTCCTATGTTTGTAAGGCAATTTAGTTCACCTTCACTGTGCCAGTAGTTATTGTCGATTTACAATAAATAAGTTCCATTAAAGACACTAACACCTATAACAAACATTACCTTGTAAGTTCCTATCAAGAGTAAACCTTGGTTTCGATTTATTGCAACATTTCTGTGCAAAAGAGGTCACAACCGCAGAGCTGGAGGTTTGGAGGCTAATCGCCAAGATTTGAGAGTGTCGTTGATGATTAAAGCTGTTAGTATTTTGCGTTTCTATAGTCTATACTAAACAATCCTCTTCAGAAAACTCGTTTCCATTAAGAAGGCTGCTTACTTTCTCTTTTTTGCAAAATATTTGGGCAGTTTTCTATTGTCATCTTATGTACTGCACAGCACACGCTATATACAAGAAACCAATTATGTTGCTTATAAACTTTGGCTCAGTCGACAAATTTGTCAAGTCTTCAGCAAGTGGGTGCTCAACATCTCTCTCGTGCCACGGCATCTCATTTCCTCCCAAAAAAATATCAGACGTAGCCCCTCATCAAATTAAAGGAGTAACTGTGAAAGTCCCACTTTTGTTTTTGTACAAAATCTAATGAAACCATCGCTAATAGGCACGTGCCCTCACTGTGCAAGTCCATCACAGCACCGGTCACAGACACCTTACAGAGACTCCAAACAGAAATGCTGCTGCCTTTTGAGCCTCACCTGTTTGAGAGACACCGATGACATAGGAAGTTCCAATTACCAAAGAAGGAACTCGATGCTAGAGATAGGATGTTATTTAATACACGGCACAGTGGGATTAAAATATTGAGGAGGCATCCTAAATACGCCGTCTGCAAATCTATTAAAATTGAGCGGCACCATTTTTGTCACATGGCTTTTGCAACTGCGGCCTATTTTTAGTCACTGCCAACAAGACTGCACAGATTTATGCAGCTGCGGCTGCAACAACGTCACCCACTACCGTCACCGAAAGGAAATAAACCAATATAAAGTTCTCTCTCAGTGAAGGGGGGGGGCATACTCATTTGATTTTGCGTCTAAATATCCTGACGGATTTCTTTAAACATCTGAATCTATGGAAAGCGGACAGGAGGATTCACCTCGCAGCCCTACCCGACCATTAGAGTTCACATTTTTAGTTTCGCACGGCAGCCAAGCAAGATTACAGGAATGAACTTGGTTTCCCATAAGCAATCCAAAAGGTACATTCCACTGCCTTTAAGCTGCGTCTATTTTTAGAGCTTTGGATCCTTTTGGCACCACGAGCGGCTACTTCCAGAGAACAGAAGTCTAAATAAGCTGTGATTTGCGGGAGTGCTCTGCCTTGCAGAACTTCGCCTCCTTCCGAGCTGTCCAAACCATCTCAGGGAAACCTCCACCCCACCTGATGCCGTCTCCAAAACTGGTGTTTATTCCTGACACAAAAGTTAGGAAATTTTCACACTTGGGAATGGTAGCAAATTATATTGTATTCTGGTTTCTTAAAAAAAAAACTTATTTTCGCACACACCTGGTACCACAAAACATCTGGCAAGAGGGAGAGGTATAAGGCGATATCACTGTCTGGCTGCTTCGAACAGCAAACTATTAGCAGCATCATGTGCATTTTATTTTAAAAAAAAGTACTGGATCCTGCATCCTGAAGTCACACTGCCCCCCTCGTTATGTGTTTGTGTAAGAAAACAATGATTATCTCGTTCCTCCTTCTTTAAGGTTCTAAAGCATAACATTCATGTAGATTCTAGCTCCATGGTATCCTTCCCCATGCACAGAAAAAAAAACAAACCACCCTCTACCTCTCATAACTCAGCTTGGTCGATGCAATCCGACATTCACCACACCAGACATTCAGAGATGAAGAAGTGAAAGGCTCGCCCCCTTTCAAGCAGACGCGACCGTCCTCGGCGCCGCGGTCTGCGTCTCTACAGGGGAGACCTGGGAGTCGTGCTCCAGATTCACAGGAGTATCGTGAGCAAAGGCTGAAATTCAAGACTGAATCTGAGCTTGCTGGTTAAAAAAAAAAAGTATTACTAAGCTGTGTAAACAGGGCACATTATTTAAAAACAACTAAGTATACTAAGGCCGTTCATGCTTACAGGAGTGCAGAAGCTGAAAGGTAAAAATAAGATGAAAAACTGCCAGTAGACACTAGGGGTCGCCGGTGCGCCAATTGTCACAGCCTGGATTGAGGCCATCTCGTACAAGAACCCGGGTCGCCCATCAGGGGTCACTGCTTTTACCTTTTATAAGGACTGAAACCAATAACGCATTTCAAAACATGAAAAAAAATGTTTACCCTGTGTTTTGCTCAGGAGATTAAATATTTTGTGCATATTTAAAGGCAAAAAAAGAGGAAGACATTTTACAATCCCCTTGCCCCTTCCCCCGGAGCTCCTGTTAAATTAAGAGGTAAGTGATTTTAGAAAGGCCATAAAACAAGAAATTGGATATCTAGCTGCTTCTCAGGGGAGACCAGAGCACACCGCTGAGACACCAACAAAAGGATCCTCCTTGACGAAAGATTCTCACACCACCATTGAAACCTGGAACTGCTTGCCGGGGAACACGATTGCAGGCTTGGAGGACAAGGGAAAAAACAAAAACAAAAAACCCGGGCTTCAAAGACGATGATGAAGAGGATAAAAGAAGAGTTCCGGATTGTTCAGTGCTACAAGGATGGTTCCGTCACCCGCTGTCCGCAAGGCTGGTAGTGCAATGCCACGCAATGGGGCAGGGCCGCCGCCTCAGTTCAACGCGTGCTGCCGGATCGTGTGGAAGATCCAGTCCATCTTGGTTGTCCAGCCGCCGTGATGGGCGTCGTTCATCTGCTTCATGAAGTAGTCCAGGGCTTCCTGCTCCGTCTTGTCCAGCGCCAGGGTCTTGCGGATGTACGCGATGTCGTCGAAGGACTGCAGCTCCGGCATCCCCGAGCCCAGCATCATGGAGAAGAGGTTGATGAAGAGGTTGGCGTGCTGCCGGATCGCGAGGTATGCCTTGTAGCACATCTCCTGGAACCTGCCCGGGACGCGAGAGGGACAAATCGACAAAGCTCGGTCAACCGACAAAGACCAACGGAGCAGGCCGGCGGGCTTATAAAGGAGTCGGAGAGCGAGCCGCCCAGCTCCAACACTTCTACAGCCGCTCACCAAGTGTGTGAAGGTTGAGAAAAAACTGAAAAGTGACAAAAATTTGTATCAAAAGGACTAGCCCCTGAAACCTGAAACCAAACCTCACAAAGCAAAGAAACACTGGACTTTCCTTGCTGCTCATTCCTGTATCTTAATTTTAGCAAGTCATCCCACCAAACCCTTTTAAGTAAAATACAGAGAAGACTAATGGCAAACAAGAGGTCAACACTGAATTACCGTTCAAATTCTCTTGTTTTAGTGCACTCCTGGGTTCCTTTGCTGATCACGATTAAGAAGTCTTGGGTTAAGACGAACGGCACGCGCTCTCTTTTGTAGCCAAATTTCTTCTTCTTGTGATCCAGGAAATGTCCAAAATCTATATGGAACAGCTTGAAAAACAAAGAAAACTACTTTGCAATTAAGAAAATTAAGGAGAACCAGGCAAACTCTCTCCAATCAGCAGAAGAATACGTTCTGGGGGGGGTCGATGTTTAAGCCCCTGCGTGGGAGCTGCTCTGGGGAATTCCAGTTCAATATCCTCAGTGATCAAGATTAGCTCCAGGAATGTCAGTTTCCACTGGCTGTACTGGATATGGTCATTTCTCATGTAGCAGATTATTCACAGCAGCTTCAACTGGGAAAGAAATTCTAAATAAAAACGCCAGAAGCAACATCTCCTTCGCTACTGTGAAACACCCTTACTGGCTCAATATAGACTGACAAAGGATTAAGCAATCTTTGTTTTACTCTATCAGAGTCTTGCTGAAAGTCCTAAATCAATGCAATTCACAAATTTTCAATTTTGCACTGGTTATTCCATGGGGATAATTTTCATAGTACTTAGTGCATATCCTATCACTTCGTCACAATGAAATCCTGAAACTTGCATTGTTTTTAAAAATTCTCTAGCTCAGGAGTGAAGAGATGTACAGACTGACCTGCCCGTCGTCCTTCACCATGATGTTGCTGTTGTGTCGATCGCCAATCCCAAGGATGAACGTGGCTACACAGTACCCAGCACAGGAACGTGTGAACAGGTCAATCGCTAGATCATACCTGGACAGAGGCATTGGATCATCAATACCTAGTGAGCTAGCTCACTTCAAGAAGTTTCCATGTGCTGAAGAGGGACTTGAGTTTTTAAACTGTGAGAAAATTGAAACAATTCATGTACTTTAACATTTAAAGTGAAACCGTAGCCCAAAATTCTCAGATCGGTTCTTAAATCTAACCCAAAGTAATTGACAGTATCGAATGTTTTACATGTGCATGCAGAATTAACAAGTAGTATTTGTCAGTAATATTTCTGTTGGATTAAAAGAGATGTGTTCAAAAGCCTGCTTGTTTACAATGTAAGGTAATATCACGCTGCTGCTCACACCTGGCAGCCCACTAAAGCTCAGCAGTACCTGAGCCCGGTCAGTACCTGGATGGGAGACTCCTGGGAAAGCTAAGGCTGCTGCTGGAAGAGGTGTCAGTAGGGGGCGCTCACCCTGCCGTCTGTGCGGATCCTAATGCCCTAGTATAGTAATGGGGACGCTATGCTGTAAAATACTATACGCATCTCTTGGATGAGATGTAAAACTGAAGTCCTGACTCTCTGTGGTCATTAAAAATCCCAGGGCGTTTTTCGAGAAGAGTAGGTGTGTTACCTCAGTGACCTGGCCAAATCTCCCCCTGGGTTTTAACAATCATGGCCTCCTAATAACCCCATCTATGAACTGTCTTCTTCGCTCTGCTCTCCTCCCCACTGAGAGCTGCTGTGTTGTGAACAAACTGGTGCACTCTGGCTGCCATCGCATCATCCAGGCGGGGGTACACACTGTTGGTGATGGAAGGGAGTTCCCCTTACCTGTAAAGTGCTTTAAGTGGAGTGCCCAGAAAAGCACCATATATGTAAGGATATTATTATAATAGAGCCGGTTCACATTACGGGATGTTTTGTTGCCTGGTTCTGAATCGCAGACAATAAAGCAAATATGGGGTTGCGCATTGCTGGAAATGATGTTGATTTGGTGATGTAAATTGGAGGTTTTACACATTACTGTGCACATTTTACTTTCCATGTGGTTTGAAATGCCGATTCTTTTTAAGCTCTGAATATAAAAAGTGTTCCTAGGTCCCCACATGTCAGCAATGGGAAAAGGAAGAATGCTTTGTGCATTAATGATTATGTTTCCCGCAGCGCAGGCATTTGATTTAGACTAGGAGAAAGGTGTGAGGTGGGGATCCTGAAAGCATGTGTCCCAGTGCTAAACATGGCTCTCCTCAGAGACTTACATTTCGCCCTTGTTCTTGTCCTTGAGCCACTGGTGCAAAGTGTGGCTGTTGAACTGCAGCGCGCCTTTCAGTCCCCCCTTGCACTGAATCTGCATGATTGTATGGGAGCTTCGGACAACCTCAATGAGCCCCACGCAGTCGCCGATCGACAGGCAGCCATAGGGAAGCATCCTGGAAAAGGCATAAAAGACTTTCATCGAACCTGCAGAAATTGCAGCAAGCAGACCCCTGGAAAAACACTTCCTGGCCAGAGCTAGCAGAACACCATTTGACTCGGGCAGGAAAGCTGCGATTGGCCAGCACAGTGCCGTCAGGGATACCTGAGATCAAGACCCTGGTTCTGCCAAATGTTTTCCATGATCCGAATGATCTGCAGAGTCAGCATGTCTTGTCGTAAATCTGAAAAACAACAGAGAATCCTTTTAAGAGAGAAACGTAACAATTAAAAAGAAAAGGCATCCATAATTCACCATCGACAATTACAAGACAAGACTTATACTTGTGGCTAGGAGTTTGAAGCCTTGCCTCTAATTTTGGAATAATTATGATTACAATTAATACATAACACATCACTCACTGCGCACAAATTCACGCAACAGGAAATATTTACCATCTCCGTTCTTGAAGATGATCTCATTATTCTGGAACAGAAGCTCAGACATGATGTCGGGGTTTTCCCAGTTAAGCCACAGAGGCCTTTTGGCAGATGACATTATCCTGCATTCTTCTAGCCTGAATTAACAAGAAAAACACAGAGGAGGAAGTCTGACACTCCCAGTGTTCTCTCTCCATGTTTTCATCCAGCCTGCTGTACGTTTAGTGCAATGAACTTTAAAGAAGTCAGCTTTTAATGAGCAGAAACAATCCACTTAATGTGATTCATTGCATCCGCCTAGCAGTTCAACACAGAACAGAGTGAAATCTAACTAGTTCAATATGTCAGCTGATTAACTCATTATCGACCAGCTGCCTTTAAAGACTCAAGTGGAAGCTGGGGGGACAGAGGAGATCTGCTGATTGTTTTAACCCAAAATATAATTATTTCAAGAAAGCATGCAAGCACATGTACAATATGCTCTCTAGGCTTTATCTTTTTAAAAAACAGTATTACATTGTGATCACTAGCTTGCAAAACAAAAGCTTGTTGTTATGTACAGGAGCTCCGTCTCAAACCTTAAGTTGCCCAATTGGTGTGCAGGGTTGAGTGGAGAGGTGAAGTTCTGCAATGCATCCATGTAGTCTGGTCTCCTCATCTGCTCCACCAGAAACTTCATTTGCACCTAAAAGGACAAAGGGGTATTGGCTCATCTTCAGAGAAGGTCGCAAACAAGGCTGGTCACAATAGAAGCTCCAGACTTTCAGCAACACCACCTTGCAGATCAGGACGAGTCCTGACTGAGTGAAGCGGCAGAGAGAAAGAGAAGCTGAACCCAGACCAGTTATCACCTTCCTCACTGAGGAGAACACCCTCCAGCAGGACTGACTACAGATTTCAAGAATGTGGTCTACTGCAGGGGTTCCCCGCCCTGGTGTGCTGAGGACAACCAACACCTGCAGGCTTCTGTCTCAGTCAAGCCCTTGGCTTCACTGAACATGCTGCTTTATTCAGAACCCTCTAAGTTTTGCCGACCGAAAACTTGGGAGATCCACACTTATGAGACGCGGTAGTTAAAAGGCATCCTCCAACACGACTGGGACAGTGAAAACAATTAGGATTCCACGTGCATCTTATCATTAAGGGTTCAATTATGTAATTTAATCAGATGGAAATGAAAATCATGTGTTTCCCTGGACCCAGGCTGGGAACCTAGATTACTGGATTGGCTAAATAGCAGTTAGGCACCTATCCTTGCAAAAAGGAAGGGCAAATGAATCAACAAAATCTAATCCTTAACAATAGCAATTCTTCAGATTCTTTATCAGATTCGTTTTTTCCAAATCTTATGAAGCTGTGACCAGCAACGTGCACTTCACCACAGCACCAGCTAAAAAGAAACCTCGAAACTCTCTGGGGTGGGCCTGAGCCTCTACCTTCTGCGTTTCATCCTTCTTCTCCTGCTTGAGGATGTCCGTGAGGTTGATGAGCTTCTCCATGGCCTCCACCTGCCGGCTCAGGTGCTTCAGGTACATCCCACACGCCCTGCAGTACGACTCCAGCAGCAGCCCAAACCGCTGGCTCACTGTTTTGTTGTGCATTTCAGACCTTGCAGACGAATCACAGGGGAAGGAGATGTGCGTTTGTGCGTTTTTGTGCGTTCAGATTTCAGTACAAATGGCATCCAAGCCAGTTTACTATGCATGTAGCAGGGGTTCAATGCTCAGATAATTAAAATGGATCACAATCTGTTTACAGACTGCTGTTTTTTTCACTTGTTTGCCTGGTTGAGATTTGTGGGGGCGGAATTGTGGTCTTTGTGCAAAAATGACGTTTCCTGATACCGTCTACAACAAACACTGCTCTGTGGCCTAGCACCCGGCTGATGCATGCTGCAGATTAATACTTTTATTACAGTACGGAGCAATCAAGCCCCATCAGGGGCCACATGTTTCACAAGGGTGTTGAGAGCAAACCAAGAACGGATTGTTTTATCTTTTCTGATACAGCAACATGCAGTACCGAGAAAAAGTCTGTGAATCCCCTCTGTTGGTTCATATATACATATTTTAAGACCTAGAAAGTAAGCAGATCTTCATGAAATTCTAAACAAAAGATTCAGATAAACTGGTAAATGTATAACAGAAAAACATTTTCATTAGTAAATTATCCAACAGTAAATATTGTTGTGAGATTAAGTACAGGAACCCTTTGGGTCTGTAATTGGAGGTGCCTCCATCAGCTGGAATGATTACCCGCTGGTGGAAATGTTAAACCACTATCTAACAGAACTGCCTTTAATCAGAGACAACTGAAGATTTCCTTGTATAAACAAGTCACTCCAGGTCCTGCCACAACTTCTCAATGGGGTTTAGGTCTGGGTTGTAGCCCTGGACAATCCAAAACACACAATTTCTCCTTCTTCAGCAATTCTGTTATAGACCTGCATGCATGTTTAGGATCGCTGTCTTGCTGCATGATACTCTCCTGGAGATTGTGCCAACACAACACCAAATTCATTACTGTGCCATTGATGGCAAGCCATCCAGATCTCAAAAAACATTGAATAAGTAAATAATCCCATTTGGGCATTTAAGGGATTAAACAAGGGTATCATGATCAAACACTGAAATCCCCACAAATCTTACACTGCCCCCCCTGGGGATGAATAAATAATTTTGCATTGAAAACATACCGGGGTGTCACAAACGTTTTCTCTGCACTGTATTGGATCATGCAACATACACTATTCCTTTCATACTGGGGGGAAAAAAAAAAAAAAAAACTTACTTTAAGTGCCAAAAGAAGAAATGTCCTATCCTCTGGTTGGTTAATGCTTTTTTCAGCAAAAATCGCACTAGGGGGTTATCGAGATACTGTTCATATTTCAGGACCTGGAGGTAAATTAGCACACATACTCACAGTAAGCCAAAAAATGAGAAACGAAAGAGAAAGCTCATGAGTAAAAGCATTTCACAGATTCTAAGGCATGTGTAACAAGATTACACAATAAGGGCAGTTTCCACTGTACCTGTACAAGTTGGATGAGGTACTGAGACAGCTTGTCATCGGTTAAATACTTTTCAAGGCACCTAACAGCAAAATCCCTTATCATCGGATCTGGATAGTTACAGTCCAGCAGCTCCATGGCCTGCTCTGGCTTTATTGCCGGCCAGTCCTTTAAGAGACAATACATCTATGCAAAAGAGAAAGTAAAAGAAGAAACGGGAAGTCTGAACAGGAAGTCTTATTAATAGTTTCGGTCATAAAAATATCTAGTGATCTCAGCATTACATTAACGCACTGAACAAAAACATGCTGCAAAATTACTTTGGGGGGGGAGATTCCCCACAGGTTTAATATCTTTATACAAGGCAGTTTGTCATGGATTACTGTATCTCACTAAGCATTACCGCTCTTTAGCTGAACAATGCAAGAATCTGGTATCGGCCTCACGGCGTGCTCATCAGTACCTGTGCTACTTCATCTCTGGAGTTCCACTTCACCGCGAGGAGAATTTTGGGGAGAATCTCGGGCATGTTCACACAGTAGTGTCTTTGGGGAAAACAAGACAAAAAATGATGTCAGTAACTAAAAGAGACTTGGATATGCACTTCAAGAAATGTTCATATGGAAAAAGATATCGCAGTATACGGGCTTGCTGCACCAGACTCTGTAACAGCTTTTTCCCCACAGGCTGTCAGGCTCCTCAACACCCTGGAATCTACTTTCACCCACTCCAATTCCAGAAACAGGGTTTAAATCCCCCCCAGTGTGTTTTGTATGATGTAATTTTTGTACTATTCTATAATGGTTAAATTGCACTATGTGTATATCCTGTGTACACTGCCTCTGTTTTGGTGTACACCCTCTTAGTTAGAATTAGTATTATTATCAGTAATTTGCACTGTGTAACTGTCTACAATGTCTGCGTCGGTGTCTTGTCTGCAATTGCACCATGGACCAGGAGGAACGATGTTTCGTTCTACTGTACTTGTGTATGGCTGGAATGACAAATAAACGTGAACTTAAATGCTGCACCTGTGCCGCCACAAGAAATCCTTCTCCTGCTCAGTGATTTCAGACAGAGGGTCCCTATTGCACACCAGGCGCAGCTGCTCCGTGTCGCTCTCTGTCAGGGCGTTGTCCCGAGCCAGTCGGTTGCTCTGCAAGAACACCAACACCACACTACTCCAGCAGTGCTTCAGGAGAGACGCGAGCCCAGCAGCCGACGAGACACTGCTACCAGGCTCAAGAAGGCTTCTACCCGACCAACAGACACTTTGTGCCACACTTGCTAGCAGGACTGCATATAGATACTTTATTGATCCCGTTAGGGACACTGCAGTGCAACAGCAGCTTAATTCAACACAAAACAGTGTAACGAATGATACAATAATAATAATAATAATAATACAATACAATCAGTAAAGAGAGAAGTGCACTAAGAAGAGTTACGCACAGTCCAGAACACACAAAGAACAAACCAGAACAGAACACACGAAGTTGTATTGCACAATACAAGTATAAATATAAATGTATTGTACAAGCCCCTGGCATATATTGTGCCGGCAAGGATATGAAAGAAAAACACTAGCTCACTGACACCAACTGAAAGAAAGGAAAAGACAACAAAAAGACACAGAGCTGCTGAACAGGCTGCCACTAACACGGCACCATCTTGATTACCATATGCTGTAAAACCTTGTCTTCTTGTGCAGTATCGCACTCCTTGCAAAATCAAACTGCTTCGTTTTGTGCTTGAGCAACGCTCATGAGATTTATTGATCTGGGAGATTCAATCTCAGCTAAAAGGGTTTCAGGACCGATCTGCCCAGTTCTTGTTGGCCAAATGTTATTTAATTACAGACCTGCCTTTCCTGAGGCAGCATCAGATGACCGAGAAATTTCAAAACAAATTTTTTATATATATACACAAGGCTTAACAACTGTCAGTCCACAAGTTCTGGAGCGGATTCAGATATCAAGAAGAGCTTTGTTTTAGAAGTGTTTCTAAATGGAAGCATCTCAGTGTGCAGTACAAGGATGCTTAAAAAATTTAACAAAAAACTTCTATTTCTTTCAACAACTACACTGCAAAGAAAAACACCTACAGCAGCTCAATCAAAACCAGCAGAATCTATGAAAACCTTCCACACTGTTTCTACAAAAGCATGCCTATTTCCTTTAAGGAATGCAACACTGGAAAACATCACTGCGGTATAAACAGGGTGGTACGGCTCACACATTCCCCAGCCCAGGTGCACACGGCCTTACCAAGCCAGTATGGCAGTAGTTAAACCCCAGCTCTCTGGAGACGGTCCAGTTCGCATGGTCTTCCACCGTCGCCATGTCGGGAAACTTCACAGGACTGCTGAAAAAATCAAACTCTAATTCTAAGCAGGGCGTTTCCTGAATAAGGGCAGACAAGAAAACACCCGCGTTACCCATCATATCCAGGCACGACATCATGAACACAGTAAAGTGCTGCACGAGGCACATCCCTCAGGTACCTATTAGTCCCTTACCTTGTTGGGATTAGAGCCCGTGACCCCAATAGGATTCAGCAAATCTTCAAGGCCGTGAGGTACAGGCCACAGGTTCAAGGCCATTTTCCCCGAGACGAGAGTGTGTGTATAATCGAACAGGTTGACATTCCCCCATGCCAACGGACAGTGCTCCTGAGGACAGTGATCAGAAAGCCGTGCGCCACATTAGCTGCACATTTCACCAAAGTGCTTCACTAACTCACGCAACAGTGAGCTGACAGCCCGGTCACACCCAACGCGAAGTGCATAAATGCACCGCAAACAAACCTTCAGCATTATAATGTCCTCGATCACTACAAGAGATGCTTATGCAAACTAAGGCTACCGCATTAACCCAAGCAAAAAACTGTTTTACATGTTTTACAGCTCAATTTGTATTTAACTTCTGTTTCAAAACGAGTAACAACTTTCGTGGGATATTTCAATCTACATTCTAACCTTGTTCTCGAACACCCACCTTCCCCCCACAGACTGCTTCACACACACTCTGCGAGAGAGCAAATTTAGCTCCCTCGGCTCACGCCCATTGACCACAGGACGTCAAGGGCTAAGTTTAGCTGCGCACAGAAGCCATGTTTTCTATCCCCCCCCCCGCTTTCATTTCACTTCACCGAGCACAGAACCTTAAAAGTAAAAAAAACAAAACGACAAGTGCGACAGCTTTGCACCTGAAACAAACGTGAGGATTGCGCAAGCAGCCGACGGGAAGAAGGGAACGGCTTCTAAGAGTGCCTGCTCTGGGCACCAGGAGGCCTCACCTCTTTGGCTCCCTTCCTGCCTTTCACAGAGCAGATGGACAGGCAGAGGCGTGCAGCGCGGGGGATATCGGGAATGTACATGTCGTAGTTGAGCCACTCATTCCACCTGGAAAGAAAGGGGGAATCTCAGAAGAAAACAACTGAAACACGCAGATGGAAACAACATCAGCAAGACCACCGAGCAAACAGTCCGTTACGCTTCTGTTACCTGATAAAACCTGGCGTCACCAGACTGGGACTGAAGATCTAGAAAAGATCTTTGCTCAACAGGCGGACACCACATGTTCACTGGGGGATCAGGGATCAATTCAAGAGCACGTTAACCCAAACAATGCACACCGCTTTCTATGAAGTCATTAGCTTTGCAAAATCATTTCCGATAAAGATTTGCCAAAGAAATAGCTGTACCAGAGGTACAAGTTTAACAAATACTTGGAAGAAAAAGTTGAGCTTTCATGGGCTATTCCTGTCAGAACCTAGGAAAAATGACTAAAGGCTTCACTACTCCAGCAAGATACGGGGATAAGACTATCTCGTTACAGCCCTGAAGAGCCATGGGCAGAATACCTTGGATTAGAGCAGGGCACTCTCTGGGTGTTCACATTGTCACACAGCTGCTCTCCTCCATGGTAGATGCCTGTTCGCACGTAAATCTAAGGAGCATAAAGCACGTCAACATTTCCACAGCATGAAAACGAACAATGTTTCACGCTAAGTATGTCCACTCTCGAGACAGGTGTGCTGTGCATTTCACACTGTTAAAACCAAGAATGTGCTAGAAACATATCCATATTCCACTTTTTTTTTTAAAAAAAAGAACAAACAGGTTTAGACTACACCCTGCAGGTTACTCCACTTAAAAACACAACCTACACAAAGCAGCAGAAATTGAGGGGGGAAACAAATGCAAAGAGAATACTTTGGAAAGAACTGCAACTCGTTTTGCATATGAAAAACTAGAACCTTTTAACTTCCCGAGAACATTCCGGGCAGAGCCCATTTCCGCCTCTCCCGAGGCACAGCAGCCCTTACGAGCGCCGGCCTCGTCGCCGCTCGATTCAGAGCGACGGGAGGGAGCAATCCGACGGGCCGGGACTCGGGCGACGGAGGTACGAGAGAGAGTCGAGCACCTTATCGATGTCCCGGATGTTGACATTGACGTACGTCGCGCACAGGATCTTGATCCTCAGGTTGCTGTTGATGGACCACAGCGACTTGGTGGAGGCCTCCCCGTTCATGTAGGGCGTGGCGGTGGAGATGCGCCGCGCGTACGACGGCATGGTGAAATTGTCGATCGGCAGCTGGGAATACAGGCTCTCCTTGGCCATCAGCATGAGGTTGGGCATCCGGCCCAGCATGATGCAGCTCCGCACGTACTGGGAGAGGAGAAGCACAGGACAGGGGGGTTTCAGGATGGTCACCCGTTCGGCCAGCGCGGCCCACACCGGTCAGCAGCGGCTAACCGACCCGAGGATCGCCTCCAGCCGAGCCTTGACAGAAGACAGGGCCTCAGCTCCCACAACCGCACACGGTTTCCCAGGGGTCAAGCAAAAGAGATTCGGCCGACACGTGCCCATGCCCGGGCGTGCTGATCTTTTTCAAACAACATTACAATCAAAACCTCTTACTGTACAAGAGAAAACATAGTAAAACACAGACATTTATAAACCGGTTTTTCTGAAAACCAAGGAAAGGGACACATGCATGAGAGATTCAAACGCGTTGATGGACAGGAAGTAATTCATTCAAAAGGACACTAGCAAAGAAACGGTGGTTTTGGATAATATCAAGTAACCAGCTGGCGGTTTCCCTTAGACGAGACACTTGATGAAGGCAATTGTGCACCGCAGTTACATTTCTGCTCATTTCGGTTAATCTATGTAAATATTGCCTGGCGGGGAACCTCAACAGGAAGCATTTCTCTGCGCAACTCTACCCGATACTGGTGCTGCCAGTGCCCAGGGAAAACTTTGCTCAGCATGCTTGTGTGCCGGCTGTCAACGTGGAAACCTTGTGTGCTTTGGAGAAATACACCTGCAAACACTGACGCCGGGCACAATAGTGGATAGCTACAAGCGTGGGAAACAAGATAAATAAACCATTATCAATCCCATTACAGTTGAGCTGTTGGCTGTACTCATCTGTGAAACCCCTCTTCCAATAAAACACAGAAAAGATCAAAACACAAAAAGAGTGCTCCAGTATGACCACCTGCAGATTACCGACATGCATAATGCACACACAGGGCGGAGCGGTGGCTCTGGGGCTCAGGATCTGCGCCTGTGGCTGGAAGGTTGTCGGTTCGAATCCCGCGGCCGGCAGAGGAATCCTACTCTGTTGGGCCCCTGAGCAAGGCCCTTCACCCCAACTGCTCCAGGGGCACCGTATAAATGGCTGACCCTGCGCTCTGACCCCCAGCTTCTCTCCCTGTCTGTGTGTCTCATAAAAAGCAAGATGGGGCATGCGAAAAGACAAATTCTTAATACAAGACATTGTATATGGTCAATAAAGTGATCACATCTCACACGCACAGGTTGTTTATTTTAACGAGGAGTGCCAACTGACACAGGGCGACCTACCTTGTACTGGCTGAGTGGGTACTTCTCCAGCAGGTACTCGTCACAGCCGCACACCTTGAGGATGTACTTCCCTTGGTACTCCTGCACGCACATCTTCAGCTGCTCCGGGGACAGAAGCATGCTCCTGGTCTTCTTCCGGATGGCCTCCGCGATGACCTGCTCCGGCACATAGTCGTGGTTGATCTTCAGGGTGTACTTCTGCTTGTCGTTGTTGGGGGACACTATCACCCAGATCACGACGATGATTTGACCTGAACCACACAAATAAAAAGGAACATGAAGAGACCACCAACATGAAAACGTTCTACAGGAAAGATAAAAAAAATTAGAATTCGTCCAAGAGACAACATGGATTCAAGTGTTTTATCACCGTCAGTGCGCTGGGATCTAAAAGTAAGACTGGCGAGTTCAGATGAGGGACAAGATCATACAAAACTACATAAATTCAGAAAGATTTAACACACAATTGTTTTTAAAAAACAGATTTTAATATATCAAATGGTTTATGTCCCTGCTGGTTGATGGCAGCACCCAAGGAAAATAAACTACTAGCAATGCCCTTTTGTTTCACTGCTTTATGTGATGTCAGTAGCCGCCACTAAGAGGTCTGTAAGTTCCCCTTAAAAATAACCATTATTCAAAAACACAAAACATGACTCCTGGCTCTCCTTAATTGCAACCATTCAGATCCATATCCCTGTGAGATTAGAATTTCAAGTGTATTAAATCAAATGATTGTAAGAAATAAGTAAACAGCAGCTGGCACAGCTAGCGCACTCAGCTAACTGATCCTCTTAAGCATTATTATGATAGCCTCCAATTAAGGGACTGTTTTTATAAAGTCTACACAATTCACTGCGCATAACATCTCATTTTCCAGACTCTAACACAACACAACCCTTTCAAGTACATACTAACTTCTGCCACTTGCAGTTTTGGAAAAAAAAATATTCAGAAAATGATTTTGGATTGCATGCAGCAGTATGCAAACAATAAAAGCCTAAAAAGGCTCAAATATTTTTTTTTTTATACAGAAATATATCATTTCCAGCCCCGACCGCTGACAAAACTGTTCCCAGCGACTCTCCTTACCCTTGTCGAGTTTGTTGTAAATGTGCTTCGGAAGTTCTGGCGACGATTCAACATTGGGAGGGTAAACGTACAGGGCTCGGCTGTGGGGTCCGTTAGCGTCTCTGAGGTCCACTGCTTCTTTACAAACGTTCAAGATGTTTCTCCTGAAGTCCTGCACTTCAGGATCCTTCACAAGATCAAACTCACACACAGGCATGCCGATAGCAAAGCCTGGAACAGAAACACACAGGACTCGCTATGAGGATAAAAAGTCTATTAAGTACACCAAGCCCTCCTGTTCCTGGACATTGTGGTCTTTTTTTTTTTTTCTACAGCACCCAAGGAAAACGGCAGTGCAATATTTTTTTACTAACACCTTATCCCACACAACAGTTTTACAAATAAAACGAGGAAAGCTTATGGCACTAAAGCTGGTGTTACATTTTCTAGATAAAAAAGTTTCGCCTAAAAAAGCCTTTCCTTTGGAGACAGAATGCAAGACAAAGGAAGGAATCATCTGACCACCCTTCACTCTCCATTAGTCACATGGCACATTTTCTAGAAACACTGATGCTTAGCATGTTTGTAAAACATGTGCCTATTGCCGATCATAAAGCTAAAACAACCCAGCTTTCACGAGCATTTCTGCATACTTCTATATCTAGAATCGTCTTAAACGCTCCCAGTACATAGTGCCCAGAATGTGCTTGACAGTGGTGTCCAATCCTGGTCCAGGAGGGAAAGTCCATCTGCAGGCTTTCATTCCACCGCAGCTGCTAATGAGCGAAACCAGCTGGATACTCCCAGCTCTGCAGGTGCTGCTGCTTTAAAGATGTCGAGCAATTCTACAAACCCAGTGGGCCCCCCCAGAACCAGGACTGGACAGCTGTGGGACAGTGGGAGGAGTGGATACAACAGCGGACTGATGGGACTGTGCCCCGTGCGTGTGCGTGGAAACTCACTTCTCTAACAAAAAGAACTTAAAACGCTGGGCCACAGCTTGTTTTCTTGTTTCTTCCTTCCAACCTCCACAGTGTTGCCTTAGACTACAGATCCATGTCCTACACCCTACAGACCTCCGTTAGCACTGCCACACATCTCACCCGTGCGAGAAAGACGGAAGTCACACAAACCCTTTTAAATTGCCTGTGAAAGCTCTTCTCAGCCCGTGCTGGTCTGGGCCCTGAACCACACACAAGATTCCAGTTCTCATTTTCCCAGCAGAAGAAAGCCCGTGGAGGGCGGAGGG